CAGGCCGTGTTGTTATTTACTCCCACCGGGCACGGGGTGGGGTTGCGGCTGTAGGACCGTGGGCATCGCCGCCCGCCGCGGGCATCAACCTCTCCTGGCCCCAGCCCTGCAGCCTGGGCAGGCTCCCAGGCAGCAGCTTCATCCCAAATCATGGGGATATTTGGTTAAATCGAGTCACTTTTGTCACACTGGCCACTCTTCCCCGTGTTTTTGGTGTCCCGTCGCACAAAATCGTTCCTCGCGCAATATCGGATTAATCCTCAGCGAATCTCTGCAGATTAATCATTCCAGTTAAAGAGAGGAAGCACACCTAGGAAAGATCCAGGAGATTAATAAGTGCTGCAAATGCTACAATGCATCTTTGAATGTAGCTAAACCATGAAAATATTGCCACATTTCCGAGGAGCCCCAGTACAGCCACGGCTGCTGGGATTGACCTTGGAGCTGTTGGCAGAGCTGCCTCTCTCTGCAATTTCTGGGTGCAGAAATAGGCAAAAATTAGTCTTTTTTAAAAATATTAAAGTTTCCTTTGAACTTTTTCATTCTGCAACACCTTTTGCATAAAAGATACGTGCAGAATTTAGTGTTTGCAGAAAGGGTTTTTTTGCCATTTTAAGCCATTCTGGCTGTTTTCTGCGTAAAAGCAGACACAGCCCACACCTGAAGGGTGAGGGCTGGTGCAGCTCTGCCACTGCCCTTGGGGACAGCAGACAGAGGACCCCCGTGACCCCTGGCCCTTCCCCAGGCAGCACCAGCTGCAACACCAGCTCTTCCATTTTATTTGGGGGGAAATGAGTGTTTTTCAACAAATGTGTGCCTGACACACATAAACCGCTGGTATTTCCTTTCTCACACCTCCATGGAGTTTTGGTTTTGGCTACAAGGCCAGGGCGGGAGGGTCAGGCTGGGCACAGGTCTAATGTCACCGTCCCCAGGGGGGAACCCTGTCTGTGCCCCTCGCTGCGTGCCTCCCATGTGGGCAGCGCTGGCACCAGTGCACGGTGTGGCAGCTGAGGACAGGTTGGAACCTGTTCAATTTGCCTTTTTTTTTTTTTTTTTTCCTCATAAAGGAGACCAGACAGTAAGGAAAAGCCAAATCTGTCCTCAAAGGAAACACAGTACCCCAAGCAGGGCTTGCCAACAGCGCTGACCCCTTTCACCCCCACAAGCTCTGGGAGGAGGGAGGAAGAGGGGGGGTGTGAGGGTGCTGAGCCTGTGCTCGCTGTCCCAGTTGGGCAAAAAACAGCCCAAATGGTGGTGGTGGTGGTGCCCTGTGGGCTTGGAAGTGAGCCCAGCTGTGGCTCAGCCTGTCCCATGGGGCTGCCAGAGCTGGATGATTCCTCCCAGCACTGGCTGTGAGCACGGGGGATATCGGGATGGGAGGGAGGGACAGGCACCCACCCGTGTACATCACTGCCTGAACAGACACAGAAAAATTAACACCTGCTTTAAAAAAGAGCAATTACAGCACAAAGGGAGGTGTCTCCCATCAGCTCCAACTGCTCCTCACCACTGCCCATTCCCCATTCTTGTCCATGCCTCCCTAAAAAAACATACACTGTTACTTATTTGTACCCTTCATTATTGAGGGTGTTGGCTGAGGCTGCCCTGGGTCTGGTGGAGGAAGCACAAGGGGTGACCCTGTCCCACAAGGATGATGGCTGTGCTAGGAGTGGAGTGAGCACTGTAAAGGGCTCAGGCACCACCTTCTGCTTTCTCCCTCTTTTCCTTGCACATTTTCTTCCCCTCCAGCTTTCTGGCTTTCTCTTTCTTCCTGTGGGAGAAAAGGTCTCCATCAGCATCTAAGGAAATAAATCCCATTTATTATTTATCGCTATCAAAATGTGTCAGCCTGGCTCGGGACACAGGAGGAATACGCAATAGCCCCTCACAGAAATCAAAAACTTTGGGTGGAAAAAGCCCAGGGTGGTGTTCAGACAGGGAAATGCAGGTGCTTTGCCCTGCTCAGAGGGAGATCTGGCTACTTAACCTCTTCCTTAAATTCAAATGTTCCTGTTGGAAGTGGAACAGCATTCACTGAGGCGATGGGTCCGTCCGACATCTGCTGAAGGCCAGCCAAGACTGGAAATATTTATTGGTTCAGTGCTTCAGCACCGCTGTATTAATTGCAGCTGATGTTTTGATGGGCAGTTAGCACACAGGTATTGATGAAAATGGCACCACTTCATCTCAAAATTAACTGCTTGGCCATTCAGCAACAGGAGCTGATAAATTATGGCAATAAATTTGCCACGGAGATTTATGCCACAGTAATTCGGGCCCACAGACACACTCTGGTGGGGACAGGGACCACGGTCAACACCCTCCATTCCTTACCCATACATAGCCCCGTGGGGATTTTCAAATGCTTCCAGAAATTTGGATGCAGGAGTTTTGTAACCTCTCAGGCCAGTTTTGGTGCTTCTTTAAAATCAGTGATGCTCAGGGGCCAAGGGACCCTCCCTGCCAAGTCTCCAGCAGCACAGGGGATGCTCTGAGCCACCTCCTCTTCCTCTGGATCCCTGGAAACAGAGCTGAGCTTTCCCCATTGGTGTCATCTTTATGGAGGCCATTGCAAGGAGAGGAGCCACCTTATAAACCATGCAGTTATCCCACTTTCCTAAAAACATTTAAGACATAGAGTCGGGCTGCTGGTGCTACAAAAGTGAAAGATGTCACTTGATTATTAATAGCAATATTATTAGTGGTATTGATATTATTATTATCATCATCATCCTCTCACCAGGTGCTGCACTCAGCGTGTGCTTGTTTATTTATTTATTTATTTATGTCCCATTCTCCCCTCACAAAGCATTGCTGCCATTCAGGGCAGCCCCAAAGCCACCCTTTTTTCCAGGCTTTTTTAGATTTGTACAGGATTTGCTCCAGGAGTGGCACAATGTGTGGGCAGGGGCTGCAGCCCACCTTGTGCCACCGAAACATTCATCTGCGGAGGATGAACGGCAGCTCCCTGCCTTGGGCGGCAAAGAAATTGGAAAATATCCCTATAAATGTGATTCACAGGACACAGCACCTGCCTGCACACTGCATTATCCAAACCCATTAGGGTGAGGGAGACGCAGCCAACTATTTTGGGATATGGGGTTTAATTCCCCCTCCCCAGTGTTCCTTATTTCCCCACAGGAATTTTGTATCCCGACACCTTTTTTTCCCTTCCAAAATTCTCCATGTTGTTACTGGGTGGAAGAGGCCCAACTTTTAGGGAAACTTCAGCTGGATGTTGCCTTTATAAATAAATGTGACAAATTTAATAGGGTAGGATAGGTATTTGAATTATTGATTGTTAAATATTTAAGCTGCAAGTCCCCATCCATCAGCTTGTGTGAGAAGGCTTGGGGCAGATTTATGATGCTGGAGTTTTCCTGGTTAGCTGGCACTTGGCATTTCTATTAATTATAGCCCACACATTCGGGTTTTTTTCAGGATTTGTTAGAAGTATTTATAAAAGATGTCCCTATTATACCATTTAAATATTGTTTGTGCAACTGGAACGTGTTTTCTATTGTGGATTAATACCCTGTTTGATTTAGGGGAAAATTAAATTAGAAGGTGTAAGTCTCGGGAGATAAATGCTTTATTTGAGAAGGGTTTCCAGCACTGGAAAGCACAAAGTTTTTCTTTTAGGTATAAATATTTTGCTCCAGGTGTTTGTCTGGGTCTGCAGGTGGGTGGAAAGGCTTTAAAGTGCCCTTGGCGACAGGGAGTGGGAGAGGAGGCACGTGGTGGAGAGGGGGCAGGATGGAATACATCCTATTTATTAATTTTAAGGGATTTAAGGCCTCCCCCTCTGGCTATTTCCCCGGGAAGGATGCGAGCCCTGGGGCAGGAAGGGTCTGTGTGAGGGAGGAAACCGCCCGGGGCCACCAGGTCAATAACGCGCCTCCGAAAAAAATCCCTCCCGAAAGTCCGGAGCTGTGTGATGGATTGTAATTGCTCAAGAAGAGCCATTACGGCCCGTTAGGTCAATACTCTGCATTTCCAAAGTGCTTTAATTAATACATGTTTACATCAGGTACAGCAGGGACTGCTCTGGGCCGTGGGATTAGGCCAAGAAGGGCTTCAAACTTTCATAATTTGGGCGGGGAGGGCATGAGTTTAGTCTCTTAGTGCTTTATTGCCCCTTATAAAAGCACATCTTGATGTCATGAGCAGCAAGAAAATCTTCATCCAGCAAGAGCAACACATCCCCTCTCACTGGGGCAGCGGCCAGGGGGTCCCACAGGGCAAGAGAGGCCCCTGAGGCTTCACCAACTCGCCCACCTCTTCCTTCCTCTTCTGGTTGTTCCTTTAGAGTCACGAAAAGTTACCATCATAAAGATAAATTACTGCTGCTCCAGGGGAGTGAAGGATGCTGCCAGTGGGGAAGGCATCCAGGCACTCCAGATCATTTTGGAGAAGGTGAGCCACACCTCCAAAGCATTTTTAAGTCATAACTTCTGTTTTCAAGCCACAAGTCACCCGTCCTGCTGGTGGGACCTCAGGGCTCAGCCGCCTCCCTCTGTCACCCACCTTCCTCCTGAGTGCTGCTGTGATCTTGAACATGCAATTAAATATGTGAAGGATATTAATTAAATTAGAATATAATTAAATATAAGATAATTAAATATAAGGAGGACGTGGGCCTGCTGGAGTGAATCCGAAGGAGGCCACAGAGATGCTCCAAGGGCTGGAGTTCATCTGCTGCGCAGCTGGGAGATGCTGGGAGTGTTTGCCTGGAGAAGGATCCAGGGAGAGCTGAGAGCCCTTTCCAGTGGCTAAAGAGGCTCCATGAGAGCTGGAGAGGGACTGGGGACAAGGGATGGAGGGACAGGACACAGGGAATGGTTTCCCACTTCCAGAGGGCAGGGATGGGTGGGATATTGGGGAGGAATTTTTCCCTGGGAGTGTGCTGAGGCCCTGGCACAGGGCGCTCAGAGCAGCTGTGGCTGCCCCTGGATCCCTGGAAGTGTCCAAGGCCAGGCTGGAGCAGCCTGGGACAG